GGAACCAAGATGCAGATAGTGAGGTGCTACGTTCTTCCAGTATTACTATATAGAGTTGGACACTGACGCAAGCCACTGAAAAACGAATCAAAGCCTTCGAGATGTTGATATATAGAAGGATACTAAAAATATCTTATGTGGACCATGTCACCAACATTGAGGTCCTACAGCGCATGACAAAAGAAAAAGCAGTACTTAATTTAATTAAACAACGTAAGCTTCAGTACCTCGGCCACATGAAGCGGAACGAAGAAAAATATCGAATACTTTAACTCGTTATGCAGGGTAAAGTATTTGGCAGGAGAGGACCGGGACGCCGTCGTATCTCGTGGTTAAAAAATCTCCGACAATGGTTTGGGATGACCTCAGCGGAAATGTTTAGCAGAGCAGTCAACAAAACCATGATAGCCTTGATGATCGCCAACATCCGGACCGGATAAAGCACTGAAGAAGAAGAAGTTTCGAAGAAAAACCCAACGCAAAAAAGTCTCTTATCACCAAGAATTTTGGTGACGAGAGATGTTTGGGTAGGATTTGTGGATAATAACGTAATAGGGTCAGTATTTCTTCCAAATAATTTAAACAATGGAAATTTTTTACACTTTCCACAAAACTTGTCACCAGAGTACTTAGACGAGGTCAATTTTGCAGTTAAGAAAAATATGTGGTTTTTACCGGATGAAATGAAATGTACAATGAAATAAGATAATGTCTTTTCGATCAGTATCCTGGACGTTGGATTGGAAGGAACCCTGATGCTCCTATTTCTTGGTCACCCAGAAGTGTAGATCGTAACCCAATTGTCGTTTGCCTTTGGGGTTCTAAAAAAGGGTACATATATTCCGTAAAAATTATAAACGAACAACAACTAAGGAATAGAATCATGAAAGTTGAAAAGTCCATTTTCCAGAATAGTCGTCATTCTAGCATTTACTGCCGTTGATATTTTACCTAACTAAAACTGATCGCATTTACAACGTATTTTATAAATGCAGTTCCATGTTCTTTGTTGTTCATTGTTAGGTTTATATTTAGATAAAATAAATCTTAATTTGTTTGTTGTTTTGAATGTTGTTGAAATGTTGAATTTATTTCCTATCTTTTGCAGTTTTTCTGATAATCCTTTTATATATGGCATTGTTATTTTAATCGTATTATTTCAGGTGTATACTGTAGTATCTGATTCTAGATTTGGTCTGTTCTAGTGGATTGGTCTATTCTAATCATTATATTTATATATATATATATATATATATATATATATATAGGATATATATTATATATATATATATATATTATATATATATATATATATATATATATATATTATATATATATTATATATATATATATCCTCTAAAATAACAGCTGATCTGGTAGATGAAAAGGGAGTTGAGGTTAATTGGGTATACAGCTGATTAAAAGCCAAGTACACTCTGTTCAACAGTTCATTATATTTCGCCAATTTTCATTGGCATCATCGGATAAAAGCTACAATTATTTAAAACTTGGTAAAATACATTCAATAGTTGTTTGTTGTTTATATCTTACTTGATTGAGGTTAACAGCAATATGATTTATTTTAACAACATCAAAATGGTTTGTGTGTACAATGTCGATTGCAGCTATTTTGGACATGTAACATGTAGTTGTATAATTTACGTTCACAATTAAAATATTAGAAACACGATACAAATTAAAACAAAACAAACACAAAGACGTTTAGTTCACAGACTGTTGTAACCTCGGAAATCTTTTTTTGGATGGTGCTAGAAAGAAAACCAATGAAGACACTGCGGACGGCAGCCAGATGGTTGGTGGAGAGTGGGTCGTGGGTTCGAAACTAGCTTCTGGAACTGGGATTGGGTCCAACGAACGAAATAAGTAAAGATAGGATAAGAGATATTAAAAAAGATATAGAAATAAACAAAAAGATAGATGGGTACAATTACCAAAGATAAGAGAAGATATAAACAGTTTGCCAGTCAATTTTTTGGGGTTAAGGAGAAAATTAAGAAACCTTAGAAAAGAAAAGAGATAAGGAAAGATATCCTTCAGAGATCAGAGATCAAACCCAAGGAAAGATATCAACAGTTAATTATCAATTAAATTTGGTCAACAGAATATATAAACAAATAATACATATATTAGGTATTACACTTACTTACCTACGAAACTTAATCAGCCTGATCTTTCTACTGGTCAAAGGTATAGTAATAAATTAATATACTAAGCAAATATTTAGAACTACTATTTTATCAGGGAACTTGTTAGGAGCCGACAAATAAAATACATGCATAAAACATTAGCAATATATTAAACACAAAATGATGATGCTGCTAAATGCAACACAAGTAATAAAAATACACAACTATGAAATGGTGTTATATATGTATAAAATTAAACAATAATATAATAAAAAAATACCTTTACCAAGATATATAAGGCAATCATATACAAATATAGTTTGGCGTATCTCGAGATATTATAGGAAAGATAATGAGCAAAAATTATAGCAAATACAAAAGATAGCAAAAATTTCTTAACTCTAAATTTACAAAAAAAAAAACAAACAGGTTACAGAGTTGAAAACATTAACTAGCCATACCGCACTTGGCTAGGTGGGTTACTATCTCGCACTATTAATTAATGCTAAACTGAGATGTTCATAGTTATTATGTATGGAAAGTTCTTGAATCGTTCTTTAAATTAAATATAAAAATGCCATTAAAGGTAGTGTACAACTATATATAACTTACGACTATTATAACAACGAGAGCCCACCGAGAAGTCAGTTGGTTCCACTAAAAATTTCACCAACTATCCAAGAAAAAAGAAGAAGAAGGTTTATCCCCCACTTAAAATCATCGGACAGTTGTATGTAATTCTAAGAAAGTAAAAAATTCCGAAAGTTTTGAGTTACCGGTACCAACAATTGGACATGAGAAGCAGACAATACTTGGGATTAAGTTATTGTCAAAAGATACGGGCCTTCGGCGAAAATTATCAATTTATGTAAAACAACCTGCATACCCAAAACCATTATATCTTTTTATACTGAGTATTAAGGCGGAAAGGATTAACTACCTTTAGTAATTAGGGAAGTCCATTATAATTTAGTAGATCCAATATTATTTTCTTATCATAAACACGGGAATTCCTAATCATCGGCGTATCGCACGGGGGTAAAAGAAATTAAAAATAATTATTATTTTAATAATAAAAAAAATGTTACACTGTCATTAAGGTTAAGTACCAGAATACCAAATATCGAATGTTATTGATTGAGTTATTGATTGTTATGCCAGGAGGTAATTAGTTCTATGGTGTTGATGTAGTAGTTGTTTATTGATTGGGATTTACTGTAAAGGTGTGTTTTAGATGAAAAATTTTTTGAAAATTTTGAAATTACATTTTGTGTTACATTAATTATTTAATAATTATGTTTGCTTTTCGATATGTAATAGATAAGCATAAATCTCACTCAGATGCTCAACATCTGATTTCTTATTTATTAAGTTATCCAATTGGGTGATAAATACCATCTCGAGGAAGAGTCTTTTATTGAGATTATTCTCCATTGCAAGAATCTTTGTTTCATTGTAGTTCATTACATGGTGTTCATTATGTACGTGTTTTGCAAGGGAACATCTATCAGGATATAGTCTAGTGTCACTGTTGTGGGAAGTGATACGATTTTTTAGGTGTCTGTTGGTTTGGCCAATATATTGTTTGTTACAACTTTCGCAAGGTATACAATAGACTATATTGGATAATTGATCTGTAGGTGTTTTATCTTTTAGTTTAGTGAATATCGAATTAATGTTTAACACTGTGTAATTAGCGATTTTTATGTTAACGTCAGCTGATTTAAAAATTCTTATAAGTTTCGGTGTTAAGTCTTGTATGAACGGTAATCTAAAGTATTTAAATGGAGTTAAATTAGTGTTAGTGGTTGTGTCTAATGTGGATGTAGTGTTTTGTGATGTGTGGTTATGGATGGTTTGTGTTACAGATAATGTATCGTTTGTTGTATTGAATAGTATTTTGGTGAGTAATGTGTTTGGATATGAATTGTCTAAAAGAGTTGTTGCAGGATTTTTAAGTTTTTATAATGAAGCGATTTATCAGCAATCAGTAAAATTCTGTTTTTTATTTGTTTTATAAGATTAATTTTTGTGCTATGCTTATGATATGACCAATAGGTTATGTATCTTCCGGAGCTAATAGGTTTTCTATACCAATCTGTTGTTATTGCGTTGTTGTTGTTGCGTATTAGTTTGGTGTCAAGGAATGGGACTTATGTTTGTCTTCTGTTTCTACTGTAAATTTTATATGTCGGTCGAAGTCGTGAAAAATGTATAATAGGTTATTAATCATGTCTTTTAGTAGGGCTAAAATTTTAATTTATTTAAGATTAAGAAGTATGTGTTTCTCTCTCCTAGTCATTTTTAGCTGCATTTGTCTAATGAGGCTCAAATACAGATATAGACATGCTGTGGTAGTGTGAACAGAGAATACACTTTTAGAGAAAAACCATTAAATTTCTTATTTTCTTGATAATCAGTTAAAAGGACTAGGAATTCTAAATTCTTTTTTAATTTTATATAAAAAACAAAAATTTAATTTGCTTTACCATTTGGGAATGTATTTCAAAAATGTGTAGGACATATAATGCAATCATCCAATGAATAAATCATTATAAAAATATCTATACAAACACGGTAATTTAACAAATAAATTCAATATAAATAAAAATCAATATTTGATTGATATTGCAATGCATATACATATGCTGTACTCAACGTATTATAATTGTCAAATAAGTTTTAATCACTTAACGGCCGGTTGCGTACATACAACTTTGTGCACATAATTTACCATATTTTATTTTACTATGCTCTCGTCTTCAAGTTTTCACCACTTTGCTTAAAACACAGATTTTTATTTTATAACGTCCTCTTTCAAGAAACATCCCAAAAACACTTTAAATCACTTACCCCGTCTGTATGTCGTAGATGCTGTACTGAGCCAAATAAGAGTGTCTGAAGAGTTTTTGAACGTTCAGTGCCAGCAACAAGTACTTCTGATCGGGAGATAATTGAAATCGCGATGGATTCAGGCGCAGCTGAAAAAGAAAATGGAAAATAATATAAAACTCCCTTCTAGTTTTCACGAGTAGGTATATGTAGTAAAACAGTTCACAGAAATAAAGTCAAATGTACTATTGTTACAAAGAAATTAAATTTTTTGATGTGGGAATGAGTTTTACAGTTACTGGTTTGATCTACTAATTTTAATTAATAATATTTAGAAAATACATGAATCTTTTCATGGTTTAAAACTGTAAAGATTTATTTTTAATTTATGTTTTTAAATTTATTTTATATACAGTTCAAAATCTATTATTCAGAATTTAATATTCTATTAAAAAAAGTCTAATTGCTAAAGTAAAAATGGAAATCTTTAGAAATCTTAACTTTAACGTTAACAATGATTTACTGTTCAAGGGTTATATAAAAATGTACAGTGCGTCCATAAAGTCACGCATAAAATTCATTATTAGATAAATAAACAACATTATTAAATTATTACAAATTTCCGAAACAGGTCGATTTTTGATTTAAATTTACTATTTTTTCAAATTATAATCTAATAAACAGAGTGAACCACCTTCGTAAAAAAACAAACAAAAATTTAAAGTAAATATTTAAATTGTTCTCCATTGATTATGAAACAATGACTGAACTGGCCATTAATTTCGTCTATAACCTTCTGTAGCATAGCGGGCGTTACGTTCTGTATTTCTTGTCTAATTCAGTCTTGTTGTTGACGTTATTATTAGGTCTGTTTCTGTAGGCTTTGAATTTTAAGTAACCCTATATAAATAAATCTAATGGGTTCAAATCAGGTGAACTAGGAGGATTCATTTCATAGGTCTCCTTCTTCCTATCACACGTTGTGGAGAAGTTCTATTTAAAAATCGTTCTATTTAAAGTTTGATAAAATCGACAAAAATCGAAAGTTACTTTAAAATGTGGTGGTGACCACGTTGTTGAAACCAGATTCTGCGGTCTAAATTAGTGGTTATCTGAATATCAGGAAAAAGCTGAATTAGAACAAGAATTAATGTATTTTGTAGTAAATCTAGATATAATGCTCCTGCTAAATATTCATTAAAAGATATGTATTTCTCACAATACCAGCCCATACGTTCTTTCTTTGTGGTCTTTGATTTTTTGATTTGATGTAAAAAAAATGGTAATACGTTATCATACGGAGGTGTTTCACTCTGTATATGAGATTAAAATTTGAAAAAATAGTTAATTGAAATCAAAAATCGAACTTTTTCGGAAATTTCTAATAATTTTGTTTATTTAGCTAATAATGCATTTATTCGTTACTTTATGGACGCAATGTATATATACAGGGTTTTTCAAAAAGGTATGTTATGAATTAAATCACGCATATCGGGGACAAAAAAAATTGATTGAATCGAACTTAACTTAGTACAAAAGTGTACACAAAAAAAGTGACAGCCCTTTGAAATTACAAAACACAAATTGTTTTTTTTGCATTATCTCCTAAACTATTTGACATTTTGTAAAAAAATAAACACGGTACTTTCTTGTTCTGAAAGCATTTTTCATTCAAAAGAAACAACAAAATCTAAGCAGAAAAATTTTAAGGGGTGTGTGCAGCGTAAATCCCCCCAAACTTTTCTTCTTCTTCTTCTTCAGATGCAAATCCACTAATGGATGTTAGCGATCACATTTTCCATTAATTCTCTATTTCTTGCAATATGTATCAGAGATTGTATGTCGTTAATCCCTGTCCATTGCCTTATGTTTCGGAGCCAGGACATTTTCTTGCGTCCCATTCCTCTCTTGCCTTCAATTTTACCTTCGATTATAAGTTGGAGGAACTGGTATTTTTCATTTCGCATGATGTGACCTAGATACGCCGTTTTCCTTTTCTTGATGGTTTCGAAAAGTTGGCGTTCTTGGTTTATTCTTTTAAGGACATCTATATTTGTGATTTTCAATGTCCATGGTATTTTTAGGATACGGCGATAAAGCCACATTTCGAAAGCTTCCAATCTGTTTATATCCCTCGTTTTGAGTGTCCAGCCCTCTACGACATATAGCAGCACTGACCATACGTAGCACTTAGTAAACCTTAGTCTCAGTTGAAGATCGAACTCAGAACAAGTCAGTACCTTCTTGAATTTTACGAAAGCTTGTCGAGCTTGCTCAATGCGACATTTTACTTCCCTGTCCGATGCCCAGTCTTCAAAAAGCCACGATCCTAGGTATCTAAATTCACTCATTTTTTCTATGGATTTTACTATTCAGTGTTATGGTGGAGTTTTCAAGTGCATCCAAGTTTCTGGAGATGATCATGAATTTGGTCTTTTTGGTATTAATCTCTAGTCCCATTCGCTCACTGTATTCTCCGATTATAGTGACAAGTTGTTGAAGATCGACTATGTTGTCACAAATTAAGACACCATCATCAGCATATCGTATGTTGTTGATCAATACTCATTCACCTTGATTCCCATCTCTGCATCCTCCAAAGACTCTTGAAATATGGCTTCCGAATAAATGTTAAATAAAAGAGGGGAAAGCACACATCCCTGTCGAACGCCTCTTCTTATATGTATGGGCTTGGATATAGAATTGTCTATTTTTAGCTGTGCCGTTTGATGCCAGTACAAGTTTTCAATGCATCTTATGTCTTTTTGGTCTATATCAACTTTCTTGAGAATCTGCATTAACTTGTGGTGTTGGACACGATCAAACGCTTTTTCTTCTTCTCTTCTTCAGATGCAAATCCACTAATGGATGTTAGCGATCACATTTTCCATTAACTCTCTATTTCTTGCAATATGTATCAGAGATTGTATGTCGTTAATCGCTTTTTGGTAATCTAAAAAGCATAGGAACACATCCTTCCTCTGATCGTAACAATTTTGGACCAGTACCTGTGTTGCTACTATTGCTTCTCGTGTTTCTAAACCTTGCCTAAACCCGAACTGGGAATCACTGATGTCCCATTCACATTTTTTGTATAATCTTTGATGTAGTATTTTTAAGAATATCTTTAAAGTGTGACTCATCAGGCTAATGAGTCTGTGATCCTCACATCTTTTTGCATTGACTTTCTTGGACAGGGGAATAAAGGTAGAGCGTAACCACTGTTGAGGATAGCAGCCAGTTTCATAAATTAAATTAAATATTTTGTGTAGTGCTGAAATTCCCCTTTCATCTAGTAATTTGAGTATTTCTGACGGGATCTCATTTGGTCCAGGTGCCTTATTGTTTTTTGAATTTAATATTGCTTTTTCTATCTCCTCTTTGGTGATTGAAGGGCCAGTCAGCTGGTCGTCTGTATAAACTTCACTCATAGGTCTTTCGTCATGGAAGAGCTCCTGGATATAATTTTTCCATATATCAATTTTCTCCTTTTCACCCAGCACTATCTGGTTATCCTGATTAACTATGGTAGTTGGTCTTCGTTTTTTGTATATTCCAGCAGTCTCCTTAAGCTTTTTATGTAAATTACGGTCGTCGTGCTGTCTTTGTAAATGTTCTAGATCGATACATTGTTGCTTAAGCCATTCATTTTTTGCTATTCTTATTTATGCTTTTATTTGCCTGTTAATGTTTTCATACATATTGCTGCCATCCCAAATGCATATTGCTGCCATCCCAAAAGTTTGGGCCATGCCCAAACTTTTAAGTATGTTCAAATCAAATGAATTTTGTGCTATCATTAGTTCAACACATTATTTTTAAAACTTTTTTGCCTCTTGTCACTTTTTTGAAACACTATTTTTTTCCTTGTTGGGCATAAAATTACAATTAGTTACTACGGATACAATAATTACAAACAGTTCCATCAATAATAGTCAATAATTTTAAGTTATCATTTATTGTGGGGATAAGATTAATATTAAAAATTTTGATATTACAATGGCCTACACATTTCAGGTAATGGCAGATATGCATTAAACTTTAGGTAAATTGGATCAGAATAAATTATGATTTTAATAAACTATCGGGAATATCGTAGGTGAATGTTAAGACAATAGTACATCAACCGCAAGACGTTATGTAGTAAAATACCCCAGAATACCCTCAGAATAAATTATGATTTTAATAAACTATCGAGAATATCGTAGGTGAATGTTAAGAAAATAGTACAGCAACCGCAAAACGTTATGCAGTAAAATCAGCAACTGATGAAGACCTTTTAGAAATCATTGAAGAAGTCCCTGGAACAACTACTAGGGTAATAGCTGCTCAACTAAATGTTATTGGTTAGTAAGAGTTATCGGTTCAAGATTATCCTAAAAGGATTGGATTTTGCGATTGGTTGTTAATGAACTAATGTTAACACTCGAAATGTTATTTCGAGATTTCGAAATTTTATTAAAAATATTTTATTTACAAAGAAGGCTACCTTCAGTAGAAATGGAATGTAAATAAACAAACCAGTCGTTACTAAAGTGATGCGAACCCGCATCGATTCAGAGAAGGCCAAACTCAATATCCTGAAAAATTGAATGTTGGGGCAGGAATATTACCCGATGCTATAACTGACCCCTTGTTCATACCAGGCAATTTAAGTGGCGACATTTATCTCGATATGCTGGATAAAATTATCGAACCTTTAATTGTACATGAATTAGAGAACCAAAGGGACGATCAAGGCAACCTAGCTCTAGACGAGGATTACTAATTATCCAAACAAATGAATTGGAAGGAGAGGTCATATTGAGTGGTCACCGAGGTTACCAGACTTACCGCCAGCTGACTTTTTTTCTATGGGGTTACCTCAAGTCAGTTGGTTATAAAACTCAACCTGCATCACTTAGGGAATTGCGAGAAAGAATTACGCAAGCATGTCGCGCTATTACTAAAAGATGATTTGCCAAAGTTCGTGCAGAATTTGAAAATAGGCTGTATTATTGTTTGCAAAACAACGAAACTCACTTTAAATATTTACCTAATTGACGTTTTTAACAAATTTGTAATTTAACAAAAACCTCATCAAATTTTCCATGTAAGCCAAAGTTTCACAATTATTGCTTCACCCTGTATAATAATTATTTATACCATT